GTTCATGAATTCATGAATTTCGTTCGGTATTGAGTGTTTAAAGCATTTATGTCAGTTTTGCTTACTTAAATAAAAAAAAAATTAATAAAATGAAAAAAAAAAGAAAGACCACATAAGTTGTTGAATAGAATTTTTAATTACATACTTTGCAGTAAATAGAGTTTAATGAAGAACTTTATATGAAGTTTCGGTGTGTTTTGTAAAAGGATTTTCGCTGTTATTTAATATTTACTCGTTACCTAGACGCTTAAATATTTCCCTGTAATATGAATCACTGCGGATGTGATTTTCATGAATATTATACGACTTCTTAGATGTTAATCCCAATTACTAAAGCATAGTAATTGGAGCCAAACAAAACTCAAAGCTGTGATATCCGCGAAAAAAGTCTTAATGAAGATGTGTTTAAAAGCTACTTAAAATTAATTAAATAATTAATGTAAATAATGTAAATATATTTACGAACACATATTAATCCTATTAGGTACGTTTATAGATTTAATTAAGACAGTATCTTTTTTATATCTTAAATATATCCTATATCTTAAACAGATCTTATAACTTTAATATATGTTATATCTTATATTAAATATTTCTTATATCTTAAATAATTTTTTTTTTGTTTTTGAATTAAAGGTATTTAACGGTGACTATACTAAGATTTATAAAAAAAAAAACAAAAAATTTGTTCAGCTAAATTTTAATAAATCAACTAAATTTTTGTTCTTGTCTTCTCTTTGCTATTCGAATCCGTCTAACTATCAAATAGTTTCTTTTAATAATAAAGACGCGTTACTCTCGGTAAGAAAAAATAACAAAAAAATTTATATTTTAATGTTTATTATATTGTTTATTATGTTTATTATATATTTTATATCCCGGTTACAGGGGTCACCTTTTTTAAATTAAACGTTTGTTAAACGTTTAAATATATTCTATATTTCGACACTCCTTAAGAGTCATCACCAGGATAAGAACTAATTAATAAACATTAATTAATGATAATAAAATCTATATCTATTCGTAATGTTTTTGGTTCTGTTGTTTACTTTCTGTAGACGGATATAAAATATTTAAAAGAAACGGAACACGCATTCTTCGAGTGCATTAAATGGTTAACCGAGAGAGCTAGCCCAGAAGCACAGATTGGTGGCATGTGGAACCCAGAAAACGTAGTGTACTGACTACTGGCAAGTGAGAGCAACTGGTCCGTGATGGCGAGGCTCGTGGAGGCAGTACTCCGTGCAAAAAAAAGGCGCCTGGACGCAGGTACAACAGCAGCGTCGTAAGATTAAATCTTACAATCAGGATGTGCATGACCTGAAGCAATACCTAGTGGTGGTTCCGGGTCATGTACTTCATTCTGGAAAGGGGAGTTTTTTAGCATATTAGTGATTAGCGCGAACCTTGCACTACCCTCAGAAAGACGTTTCTGCGGGTGTGTGTAGACATTTTTTGTTCCCCAGCCTCGAAAAAAAAAAAAAATGAGTCAACACTTTATGTAGTGATATAAAAATTTATAATTCTATAACAGATTCCATACAGATTACCTATATGGATTCCACTCCTTCTACAAAGTCAACAATATATATAGTGATATAAAAACATATTTATATTACAGATTCCATATGGATGTTATGTTATGTTAGAAGCCCCACTCCTACTAATTTAGCATTCTATGTAGCGGCTTGAAGAGCTATGATTCTGTGACATATTCCATATAGACTACCTGTGGATCCGTTGCGTTTCCCTATGGCTTTTGAATTCAGCATTCTATGAAAAAACTTAAAAGCTGCCAACTTTTAAAAAATAAATATTATTCAAGCTAATCAATAAAAATTAGTTTTAGTTATTTTTTTTTTAATTTCATAATTCTTTTGTTTCTTTTTTATAATCCTCAGTAATCGTTTAACATTTTTTTTTAAATTTTATTCCTCTATCTTCTTTGTATAAATTTTTTGCGGTGAAATTTATTAAAATTATTGGTTTTAAACACCCACGGGCTTATAATCTTCGCATCAGATTAAATGTGTTAAGGATGTTATTAATAAATTAAAAAGATAATAAAATGGAATGAAGAATCCTCAGTTCTTATATATTGTATGGCTTTTTCATTTTTTAAATATTATTATTCATTTCTTAGTGTACGAACATTCCTCCAATTAGCTTAATTGTGTACACTTTAGCGAGTTTTTTGTTTGGCGGGCCGTGGATGGCAATACAAAGCCTGAGTTGGATTTTATATGAGTTCTGTGCATGCGCAGTACCAGCAGTTCAAAGGAAAGGAGAATCGAGTTCAGAGATTCGTGGATTTGGTGTGAGTAATGCTGTTTTATTGCTTCCATAAAAATCCTACAACAAATATTTTAAAATCGCAGATACATGTTTGTCAAGTAACAATTTCAGTCAATTTAAACAAAACTGATTTTTATTTTAAATGCAGTATTTATACGCTCTTTTTTCTATCTACTATATTTAATTAATGTTTCAGTCATAAAATTATATCGAATAGATAACTCAGATACATTAATTCGTGTTTTTATAGAGTTAAACACATTAATTAAACACTTACATATACCTGAGAAATACACATAAAATGCTTTTTCAACGTAAATAATAAACAATTTTGTATTTCTGATTATAAATATTGAAAACTGGCACTTTTATTTATTAATTGTATTTTTAAATATTTTTTTTGTTTTGTTTTTCAAAAATAAACTTAAGAGCATATAACCCAGATATGATATTGATGCATGTTTGGAAGTAGGATCACACATAAATATGGGTGTAACAATACAACATCCATACATAACATAATTTACTTAAGTATTTAAACCATATGAATTGGTCCAAACCAATTCGAATTCATATTAATAACGACGTAAACCCTATCACTTCATTAGCGCAAGCAATCAATTCTCAACTTAGTTTATATGTAATAGCGTTAAATACACAAATGGTATTAAAATAAAGAAAATAAAAAATCTAGTATAGCTGGCGGCACAAAATAGTACAAAAAAAATTATAATTAAAAGTGCTAATAAACTACACTAACTATGCAGAATAGTTATATGACAAAAATATTTTTGGGAAACCTCTCAATTTGCTTCCTTTTCACGTATGCGTGCCCCATTTAGTCCGGGGTATCCTCGGTCCAAGTGGAACGGTCACGAGTTCAAGAAAAATACTTCGCGACTATACTAACTACAGATGCAGGCCTAATGGGCATAACCACTTTTGTTGAGTTTTTTACTCCACCAACGAGATGGCTCGCTCACCGTACTCCATCAAGCTGTATAATCGCGGATATCGTAACCCTCTTCACAAACCCTCCTTGCTAGTGTCCCCACTCCCCCTAGGTAAAGCTGGCTAGGTAAATACTTATCATCCTTTACAGTAAACGCTTATGCGTTTTTACGCCTAGCTTAGATAAATTTGTAATTACAAATACTAAACTCCTTTTACCTTCCCCATCTGATTACTGGCATGGGATTGCATCCACAAAACGTAACTGCAATCTTCCACTGATATGGTTTAAGTGAAAAAAAAACAACAAAAAAAATCTGTTGTTTTAATATTAAAGCAACTAAGTAGTTTATAAGTTGGAAGTCAGTTTTTATTTATTGTTACAGCTGGCAGTTTTACTCATTCTACTGAATGCGTCTTATATATACACTAGGAGAACCTAGCAACCTATGTCACCATTATTTTAAAACCCTCTATTAAAATTTATGCATAACAGTACGGATATCGGCAAATCTTTCTTCCGCCATTGGGGTGACCATCTATTATATCTATTATATTATATCTATAATATATTATATTATATATAATATATAATATAATATATATATTATATATTATATT